AAAATAAAAAATAAAAAAATTGACGGGTACGGGTACGGGTACGGGTATACCCGATACCCGACGGGGATGGGGATGAGAATGAAAATCTATACCCGACGGGTATGGGGACGGGGACGGGGATGAGTTTAACTCGCGGGGACGGGGACGGGTATCATGAAACCTGTACCCGCCCCGCCCCGTTGCCATCCCTACTGTAGAATGTGTTTACCGATTGAATTGGGTGTTTTGATGAATTGATGTGTGATTCGTAATTCTGTATTTTTTGTTGCGTGTCGTTTCTAATACTTTGTCAGGCGCCAGATGGGGGGTACTGAGTGTTGTCAAGGCCAAGAGCAAAGTTTGCTCTTAGGGTCTCTCACGTCGGGTGTGGGATGACCCTCGTTGAGCGTAAAAGCTTCAAGGGTTCCTTGTGACACTTTCGTCAAGTGTGAGCTGACTATCGCTAGGCATGGACACTCTAGAGAGCTCTTGGTGGTGTTCTTATTGGGTGTGAACTCGGTCACGCCGAGCACAATTCAAATAGAGACTAGTGTGGTCCTCTAAAGAATGTGCTCGGCATCATGCTGCCTATGAATTCTTTATTATTCTTTTGTTAAATTCCATTGCTATAGTTAAGTGTTGTGATATTGATGTAGATATGATCTGATATCTGTATATGAATGTATGAATATGAATGATGAGTAATGTGATATGTGAAACTATGAGGTCACGTGAATGTAATACATAGAGTCTATGTGCCATGCATCATATGCATAAAAATGTTTTTGTAATGGTACAATATGAAATACACTACTAGGGAAGGTCCTTTGGGTAAAAGCTTAGGAACCAACCTTGGAGATAGCTCGATATTGAAGTCCCAATCCTACTTTCGTGAGTATGGGATGTATCTTATGCAACTTAGCTATCCCAACCAAACCTGATAATATGTTCTTCTGATGGAAGAGCATGGGCTAAAGGCCCAACCACTAGAGCTATGGCCAGAAGGTTACTTGAAGATTTGACTGCTTCAGAGCTTAGTGGGTCCAATGGGCTTGGTGGGCCTAGGGTGCTTCTCACTTGGGATTTGATTGATTGAACACCATGATTAATTGTATTTTCTTAGTATAGGAATTTACTTTGATGTTGGTCTTGTATTTTGACCATAGATTAGGGTTTAGGTGTCTTGGGCTTAATTTTGGACTTCTTGGGTTTTGGGCTTTTGATACCCAATATTGGGCTCATTCTTCTTCTTATAATTTTTCCTATTCATTGTTTTCATTAGACCAATGTATTTCGGTCATTAGATTAGGGTTATATGGAGAATACATTAATAGGAAAATTAGGCTTCATTTATGCATCATTTAGAAGTAATTTGAGTTGAATTTGAGTCACATGGATGGCATGGTGTGGTTCCGGCCATGTGAGCTTCAAATGCAACTCAAATCACTTCTAAATGACTCCTAAATGAGGGTAGCATCTGAATTAGTCACATTGGAAGCCAAAGTTTGAATTTCAAATTCAAATTTGAAATTCAAACTTGGCGCCAATTTGATTGGTTTGAAATTGCCGCCCAAGTTAACCTAGTTTCTTCCTATAAGTGTATCTTTTCCCACCTATTGTAAACACTTTTGAATATATGAGATTTCTGAATACATTTCAGCCATCTTTCAAGAGTCACCGAATTCCAAGAGAAAACCCTAGAGAGTGCCTTCAAAAATCCTTTAGGAAAACCTAGTTTCCTTATCTTTGAAGTGAGCAATCCCTTGAGTTTTGAGCTTGGATACTTCCCTCTAAGGCTTTGGCCTTCCATCCGAGAGTTCTCCTTCTCCTAAGGTGTTGATACAATCGGTTTATCTCCATTGAAGTTGATCCGAGCTTAGGAGGAGCTTTGGAGGAGTTACAATCTTCACTTCTCCTACTCTTTCTATCAACTAAAACCAGTAGGAGAAAGTGTGCAAAAACCTTTACTATACTACAATAATAACTTCACTGGGACAATCACTCTATTGGAAGTCATGGCTGCAAGAAGGTAAAATCCTTCTTGTTTATTAGTCATGGCTGCAAGAAAAGCAGTGCAGTTTGAATGATTCTGAAATAAGCTGATCAGGTTTGACTTAGCTAACACAAACACCAAATGGTACAAAAGATATAATGATAACAGCTGTGCTGAAGTTTTCACACCACATACACTCAAACATAGAAACTCTCATAAATGATATGTATTTATAGAGAATAAGGAAAAACTGCTTACATTATTCATGTTAAATAATTTCTTGTACTGCTAAGCCAGAGCATTTTTTGGTTCTGTGAGGACTTGTAAAACCAACATTTCAATAGTCATATGACCAGATATCCATGCAAAATCTATAAATTTCTCTAAATTCTAAAATAGGTTGTCCATATTCATTTAAACTTAAGTATTCCACAAGACAAAAGTCATAATTTTAGACTAACATACACCTACGTAAGCAGCATATACATAAATACATCATATTTCTCAATGCCAGTCACTTATTTTAAAACTGCTAAATACATTTGGAGTTACTGTGCTTTCTTCCCCGTTCCCCATTTGTGTTTAAATATTATCAGCTAGAGAGCAAAAGCCTTAAAAACAAAGTTGAGCTCTCAGAGGTTTTCCTTCCCGAGTAGACAGAATCACCTTAAACTTAGGCAACCTGAGCAACAGTCTCAGATGCATCTGTTTCTTGCCTGAAAATTTTAGATGGTCAGTAAACCAATCAAAAGTAAAATCAACCAATTTCTTAGACATAAAAACATAATACGAATTTGATCCACAATTATATTATCATTTGTTATGGAGGGCATAGGTCAGGTCAGTCATGGAATAGGATGCTGCAAACCCGAAAAGAAACTTGACTGATCATTAAGACATGTAATAATTTTAGGCAAGTAGGTGAGGTAAGAAACAATTTGGGCTATACACATTATCATATAAAATGGAGAAATTCAACACTTCCAATTGACAATACCACATGGTCAGAGACACGTCAAAGTAATCTTAGTTTAAGCATACACTTTAACCCCAAATCGTGTCATTATCACATGATGAACACATGCAAAACATGACTAGTACAGTAATACATCACTAACTAAACCATTATTCAATACAATTTGATTAAACCCTTAAAATACAGAGCAACTGCCTGCAAAGAGAAATGAAAGATACCAGACAATCAATTATCAAACATTGGCTCCATTGATGGATGCTTCACAAAAGGTACACAGAACACACATAAAAGTAGCAATACACATCTAAAGAGTATTTTGCACTAGGAAAAGGCGCAAAAAACTGGAAGCTTA